GACACTGACCCTTGTCTTATTCCTGAGTTTTATCGAAGGAGCCAACATCTGGATGGAACTGAAATTTCCCTGCTGATATACAAGGCTGATAAACCACCCTATTCCAACATCTGATTCTGGGACTCTTCAAAACGCGGGTAAGGCCCCGCTTCATAAAAGACGGGTCCTCCACCTGCCCTTCCCAGGGGTTCTGGGAGGCCGCGGCCACTCAGGGCTACCCGGACTCGCGGTCCAAGCCCCAGAGCCCGAGGGGGAGGAAAGCCGGAGGCTGTGCCCCAGCCCTGTCCCCCCGCCACCACAGCCCTCCCCGGCCGCCACACCAACCCGGATCCCACCCCGGTCCATGTCCACTGGCCCCGCCAACGGCGCGGCCGTACGTTTACCGTCTGTGAGACGCCGCCCCAGAAAGGATGTCGGCCGCCGACTGACGCGGCCAGAACTAGTGGCCTGGCCAAGCAAGCCGCCATCCCCAGCAGCAAACACCGCCATGGTCCCGGGCAGCTGCACACTTCGGGAGCCCGCTGCCTGCCCCAGAAGCGCACGCCAGCCTGCGAGGAGCGCGGCGTCTTTATCCATGGCAACGCCGCGGGGCCCTCCCCTAGCGCTTGCGTCTGCGTCCTTCCGAGGCTAGACGTGCGAGGGCAGAACTTGCGGAGCCAATGGGAGCCAGGGCGCGGCCAGGACGGGGGCTGGGGGGAGGCTTATGGGGCAGCTGGGCGGGCCCGGGGCGGGCGCGGCTACGTGGAAGTCCTGACCTGCAGGTGGCGCCGGCCGGAGGCTGGGGCAGTGCCGCCACTAGTGGGCGGGGCAGCGGGGCAGCGGGGCAGCGGGGCGGGGGCACCCTCACCTGTCCGTATGCGTGGCTCTGCCTGGGCTCCGCGGCCTCCGCTTGCACCGGACGTGGACCCAGGCTGCCGTTGGGCAAGAGAGAGGACTGAACCCAGGCACACACAGCTGGCCAGTTAGGGCACCTGAAGTGCAAATCCGCCAGGCCCGCTGCCGGCCTTGAATTCGCGCTGATGGGCAGTTTCCAAGAAGACGGGATCTGTCCCAAGAGGGGAGGTAGGGCTGGGGTGCCAGATGCCGGGTTGGGTGCGGTCTTACAGGCAAGCCACGGTGAGAGGGTTCAGAGAAGCCCTTGTGTTGGCGGGGCTAGGAATTTGGGGTATGGGGTGGGGATGCTGTGTGCCATGCTCTGTGGTTTCCCCAAGAACTCTCACCCCCAAGCAAGGGACCCTGCTTCCTCCACCCTTCACTGCATCCCCTGCCTTCCCCAGCACCTCCGCCTCTGCCCCCGGAGTGTCCCATGATCTCTCCCTACACCAGGCACTGTCCCTGTTACAGATACTGAGCTCCTGGTGGTTCCAGCCCGATGGTGGGGGCTGTATGTGACCAGTTACGATGCCTGGAGACTTTGTATGAAACCTCAGACCATAATGCAGGCGTGCACAGAGGCCCCTCAAACAGCATTCCCTGCATGGCCCTCCCCACCACGCACCCACAGCGCAGCTGCCGCACCGGGCCAACCCTGCCAGAGGACCGCTGGTCCCTCTCCTCCTGTCCCTGATCAAGAGTGCACCGCCCACACTGCTGGGAATTTAGGGGGCCTTAGAAGAGCAGCTGATATTTTCATGAGCACATATTTGCTCTTTTGGGAAGATTTGAGTGCAAAGGGATGTAGGGTATGCTTTTTCTGTTGCCCTGGAACTGGTGACTAGGATGCAAACTTAAGTCAAAGCAAGTTTTAGAGAGAGCCGCAATATATCTTACCCAAAGATCACTGTTCCCCTACAAAGGCAACACCACCTGGCGGGTGGGGTCCTGGTCCCTCTTTCTGGAGGTTGGGCTTTGCACCCTCCAGCTGGGACAGAGCCCGAAACAGCTCTGAACACGCTCCAACAGGCTTTCCCAGCACAAACTGCCTTTATTTTGAATCTGGCTGAAGGAAGCAGCTGAGAAATCTGGGTAAATCTTCCTGGGTGTAACCATGCCTTTTGTGCTGAATGAAAGAGCGGCTCTCCACATGCTAACATCTTAGAACTGAATGTGTGTCGAAGCCTTCATGCATGTAGCATGTTGGGAACAGCGTTTCATGGTGAGGGGAGCTATATAACTTACATATATAAGGGGAAGACCTCACTCCAACAGGCTTTCCCTGCGCAAACTGCCTTTATTTCGAAATTGGCTCTTGCTGAGAAATCTTGGTAAGTGTTCCTAGGTGTAACCATGCCCATTATGCTTGATGAAAGAGCGGCTCTACACTTGTTCACATCTCAGAAATGAATGTGTGTTGAAGCCGTCATTCATGTAGTGTGTTGGGAACACAGAGATTCGTGGTGAGAAGAACTATGTAAATTACATGTCTATGATGAAGCACTCGCTCGAACTGGGTATTCCAGCGCATACTGCCTTTATTTCGAAACTGGGTTCTCAGAAGACCTGTGGTCTCCACTGCAGGTCTGTCTCCAAGCCCAGGGCCAGCATGGTGACTCTGCTCCCCCTGTCTATTCTGGAGGTCTAGGTGTCCTCCATGGCCTTTCCACCATTGTTTCTTTTGGAAACACCCCGCAGATGAAATGGGCCTGAGAACAGGAGAGCTGGATGCCAACAGCCAGTGCCCAGTGTGTGGCTCCTGGGAGGGGCATCTCCTCTCCGTGGGCTCTGATCTCCCCTCCTCTATCCCGCATATGCACCCCTCTCCTCCTGCATTTCCCGATTGATCCCTGGATAATAGTCCATACCAGGAAGTGACCTGGGAGGAGGTTTTATGAGTCTTAAGGG